GGGGGGGGGGAGCAGGCCGCGGACCATGTTGGCTGATGTGGCCAGTGCCCTGCATGTGAGCACCGGCGAGGGGCGCTCCTCTCCCGTTCTCCCCCCCCCCCGGGAAAACAGCTCCAATCCCACCTCACCACCGGCACAACACCGTCGGTGCATGATGCACAAACACGCCGGAGTCGCAGGCGGCCGAGGGCACAAACAATGCCCCGCGACCGGCGGGCACGCCGGGCGCACGCCCGCACGCACAAGCGCGAAGGGGCTCGCATGAGGCTGTGTCGCCCGCGGCACGGGCCGCGTGCTTGGCAAGCCCTGCGCCCGCCCGGGGCCCCACACAGCAAGCCCTGCACCCCGCAGTCGCATACACATACACACACCGATGCGTTCCACGCTTCTCGCGACGGGCCGCCCACTTCGCCCCGGGGGAGAGTGAAGGGAAACAAACATTCACCACCCACGGCAGGCCGGTGCCAGGCAATCGAGGGGTATGGTGGGCGGGTCGCGGCCGCCCGCCGGGGCGCTGTAGACGAGGCGGCCGGCCCGGCGGGACCCCCCGGCACGCACACACACACACACACACATGCCCCTTGCCTCGGACAGTGCGCCTTACGTAGGAGCGCGCGCGCGCGGCAAGCCCGCCGCCGCCGCTCCCGGCCTGTGGCGCTGGCAGGGGGATCCCAGGCGCGGTTGGCTGTCTCATCGCTTCCCGGGCCGGGAGATGGGAAAGGCCCCAGCCAGGCGGTCGGGCCACGGCTGGAGGGAGTGAAACAGCTTCTCTCGGTGGCTGCCAGCCGCGGGGCGCCTGCACCGGACCCGCATCCGGGCGCGCTCCCTGCCCCTACACCGAAGCCCGGCGGGTCGGCCGGGCGGCCACCACGGCCCCGCACGCGCACGCACGCGCACCCATGCGAGGAAGACCCGGCCCCGGGGAGAAAGGGACAGGCCTGACAGCCGGCCGGCGAGACGCCGGACGGCCCCCGGGCCAGTCGGGCGGGGTCTGGACGCCGGCCGCCGCCGCCGGTCGGGGAGGGCGCCCTCGGGACGGCACGCGCCGTGGCCGAGGGCGCCGCGCCCGCGCGCTGGAATGCGCCACCCAAGCGTGCGAGCGCCAGGTGTGGCACAGACGCGAGCGTTCCTGTCGCCAGTGGGAAGGAGCGTGCATGTGGCCGCGCTGGGGGCCCTCCGGCCGGCGGGTGGACATCCAACCGGCCGAGGGGGGGCCCCCCGCCGGCGGAGACCATCCGCCGCGCCGCGGCCCGGCCGGCGGACTTGGCCCCGGGCATGCGCCGGCGCGCCCAGCCACGCCAAATACCCCGGACCCGACGGGAATAGGCATGCCCGGGCGCGTCGCGCGGCCTGCGTCGCTTGGCTGCGCCCGGGGCCCAGCCCCCGGCCTCTGGACGGGTGCCAGCACGCCGGGCCGGCCGCTCCGGGGGGCGGGGGACTCTGGCCGTGCCCCGGCATGGGGCCCTCCCCCCCCCCGCCGGGAGGGAAAAAGCCGAGTCTCGCGCGCACGAACACGCCCCGGCCGAGGTCCTTCACGTGGGCGTCGCCGCGCACGGCGTCGGGGTCCGACATCGAAGGCGCCTGCCCCGTCTCCCGAGCCATGCCGGGCCCGCGGGCTATTTTCGTCTCGGACTGGGAGCCGGCCGGGGGCCCGGAAGACTGGGACACAGTCGACCAGGCCCGCCTGGGTGCGGCGAGCGGCCGCCGGCCACGCCGTGGGGCCACACGCCCCGGGGGGGGGGGTCCTCCGGAGAGCGAGAGAGAAAGAGAAAGAGAGAGGGGGAGGGAGGGAGGGAGGGCGGGGGAGCGGGGCGCACAGGGGGACACGGCGGCTCCCGGCTCCCCGCCGTATTGCGTCAAGTATTGGTGACGGCCAGTTTTTCCGGGCCTCCGCCGGCCAACACGTCCAGGGAGCAGGGAAGGCCCGCCCCGCTGGCGGCCGCGCATGGGGCGGCGCCCTTCGGGGGGGGGGGGTCGGGCGCGAGAGGGCGGGACCGCCCGCGGCCATCCGCGCCGGCCCTCCCCGGCCGACGGAAAGGGCGCCGCCGCGCGCCGGGACACGCACTGGCCCATCGCCCGGCGGGTCGCGCCGCGGCGAGCAACGCCAAACACGGTCGCAAGCGAGACGCATGCCTGCGCCGGG